ATAAAGATTTTTGAGTGATTAATTTAATATTGCTATAATTTATAATTGATATAATTTATAATATATAATTTATAATTTATGATTTATAATATATAATGCTATAATATAATTTTTAAATTCATTTAATATAATTTTAAATTTTCATAAAAAATGATCCCATGTTAATTTGCACAAGAAAATATTAATATCTCGTGGCATTTCATTATTATTTTTAATAGATGATGTTTTAGTTTCCTTATTTATATATAGATATTTAAATTTTGCAAGTTATAAAATGAAGATGAGAACGAAGAAAAATAAATGGAGAAAAATTGAATTGCTTTGGAGGAGGAGAAGGATGCAACAGCAATCGTAAAATAATATTTAAATGAGTTTACTCGCTCTTCTCTGATACAGAATGAGGATAATACGAGTGCACTCGCGGGGTTACACGACTTTTTCGCTAAATTTAGTTCCTGATAGAAAAAGTGAAGAAAACAACGATGAGAAAAGCTCTGTCATGTAAAAGCTGAACCACTACTTTTTTCGACATTTTTTTGTGTTCATTTACACAAATTTTCCGTCAAATGAAAATTTTGATAAAAAATATGTTGTAGTCATTTAAATAGAGAATGATTTACTTATGATAAACTATGGTAAATGGTTTTAAAATATTAATATAATATAAACCAAACGGAATTATTATTTTCTTGTTACAATCTTATTATATATATTAATTTTGCTATTTTTATTATTATTCTTTAAATGTAATGAATATATAGTGATAAAAAAAAAAAAGAAATTAAACTTAATCTCACAAATATTTCAAAGTTTACGGATTCTTAACAATTATGTTAATTTGCATGAAATAATTTATTAGATAAAATGAATTAAACTTTTTTTAGAAAGTTCAATAATTTTATATATGAATTCATATTATCTATTATTTTTAAATAAATCGAAATCATATAAAAGTAAAAATTAAAAAATTTATTATTGCTTTTTATAAATGAATTATATAAATGAATTATTTTGTTTTTGTTTGTTTTATATTATTGAATAAAACTTGAATAATAAACTATATAATATAAAATATAATAAAAAATAACTATATAATAAAATTTTTCTTATATTTATTTCTTTTTTATTAAAATTAATTAGTTTTTGATTTGATTAATTTTTGAAATCAATACTTTCAGTATGAAATATAATTTAATATTTTTTTCAAAAAATTTTTATAAAAAAAATAATTTTTTATTATAAATACGCGAATCAATATTAATATTAATATTACAAATAATTTTTTACGATACTGATATTGATATATCATATATATATATATATTTATTTTGTTTGCTGGATACATGTATATTATTTCTAAATAAAGCATTCATTTTTTTTAGCAAAATGCTTTTACTGGAATCGAAAATTTTATTTGCACGTAATTTAAAACGTTAAAAAATAAATAGTACGTTTTACGAAGTATATTAATTCTAATTTGAAAAGAATATCGTGATTGGATTGCTGTCATAATTTGTCGTAAACACAGGGTTCATTTGCTCTCATCGTTTTATTTTGAAAAATATTGCATTGGTGAAGTTTTAAATCAATAAAATTGCATGGATAAAATAACAGAATTCTACATGACTTCAATTATCTGTTTCTATTTCTGGTGATTCCCTCATTTATTTTTTTTCTCTTGTTTATTTATTTTTATTTTTTCCTTCTTTATTTTGTAAAATTTCATCGCATTTTCTCTATACAACATAATTAGATAGTTTCATAATAAATATCATTTTAAAATAAATGATTTCAATAATGATATACAATTTTTTTTAGAAATTTTTAAAACTCTATTATATTTGAATCGATATATTTTTAAAATTGTGTTAAGCTAACATATTAAAGGTTTGCAATGACAGAATACAATAACATTATTGACAAATAAAACGAATCCTAAGCATTTTTTTAATAATTTGGAAACTAAAATATATGTATATAGAATATAATATTCATATGATATTTTTTATTTTAATAATTTTACTTTATTAGTGTTGTAAATTTATTTTCTCAAATATTGACATGCATTTCTGAAACATTTTGTATCGGAAAATTATAAAATTTCGAGGATCAAGATCTCATCTGATTCTATCCGAATTTTTCCGATTCATCTCAAAATGTTTGGATTTTCGAAACTTAAGTAAGATAGCACACTTCTCACGATTATTGCAAGTGAAAAATGAAGTAAAGTTCGAATTTTTTATGAATATTTTTAAACAAAGTTATAATAGCATATATGTATACTTGTGAAGGAATAATCTTATTTGCAACGATTTCTGTCAAATTTTCAAACATCATACACATTGAAAAAATTATGGAAATGGAATGAACTGGAGATGATTATAATGCGCATGCGAATGTGCACATGCTAGTGCGCATATGTACAATCTGCTATGAATATGCATACATTTATGCTCATAGCGCAGGCAAATTTGCGCTTGTAGTTTTAACTGGTACACTGCCGGTCGTTGTTGCTACCTAGTTACAATGAAATTGAATCAGGTAAGAAAAACGAAACCTCGATGACTGCGGATGTGATGGATGCGATATTATATTCGACAACTATGCTGCGTTTAATTGAAAACATTATTTTTTTTTTCCCATCACTCGAATAATATTTCGTGTGGATAATGACTTATTATTTTTTTGATTATTGTTTTAACTATGTAACTACGTGATTCATTGATTTGTTATATGTTTTATGTTACATATTTATCAATTCTTTGAATAAATTTGAGTCATGTATTTTTTGAGTCATAGTGTATAATAATAAGTCGAAGTGAATTGAGACAATATTTAGTAAATTTAAATCCATCATTAAAGTCCAAGAAATATAGAAGATATATACTGCAAACATAAAATTAATAGGAACATTATCTGGTAATATACTTATATATATGTTTATTTTGAAAAATACTATATTCTTCAAAATTATTTGTAAATAATTTATTATTATCTTGAATTTGAATTTATTTATTTTTTGTAGTATATAATAAATTTTAATAATTTAAAATTATTTTTTTAATATTTAATATTTACTTTATAAAAATAAATTAATTTTTACGTGAAATCTGTTGATTTATTCTTGTACACGCTTTATTAGCATGTATACAAAAAAATTAAATTTAATTCATATGAAATATTTCTTCATATTAAATTCATATTTAAGAAGTTAATGATGTTTATATTGTTTAAAAATTTTTAAAAGAATTTAAAAAAAATTTAAAGAAAATATTGATATTGATTATAATGATATGAGTTCTACATATGAAATTTGGGATATTTTAAATATTTCAAAAAATTTTAGAATATTTTTAAAAATTTTTGAATTTTGAGATTTTTATAATATTTCAATGTACAAAATAATGTTTGAAATTTTTTTTTAAATTTTTATGAAGTTTAGATGAGATATATGATGCTTAATATTTTAAGTTTAAAATAAAATAAATTTATTATTTTATTTTATTATTTTTTTTTTAAATTTTAAATATTTTGAAATTGAAATTTCATTAATATTTCCAAAGAAATAATAAAATTTAAAGTTTTCTTAAAATTTAACAATATTTAATATAGATATTTAATTTGAAATTTTTTTGAAATTTTAAAAATTTTGAAATTAAATGTAACATTTTCCTGAAATATTTCATATGTTATTTCAAATATTAATAAAACGAAGTAGTAATAAAATATGGAACAAACTTTTATTACGAATTATTAATTTGAATAAGAATATTATTAACAAGCATACGAGTATAATACATTCGTTTTTTAAGATTAACTTTATAACATTTGAACTCTTTTCAAAGTAGAGAAGAAATAACTCGACTGAAAGTATTGACCTCGATAAGCTTACACGAAGTAGAATTGCGTGAATTATTGCTCTCATTTACTATTAAGCTAACAAAGCAGCGAAGTTTATATTTTGTTATAAATGACGATAATAAAAATGACAATAATGATATTTCTTTATATTTATCTTCAATTTTTTATATTTTACAAAAAAAAATAAATAAAAAATTGCAATTAAATTGCTATTTCTTGTGTTGATTTGAAAATTAAGAATTAATAAATACAATAAATTATATAATAATAAAGTACAATAACATACAATATTTGAACTATTAATTAAAATAAAATTCAGAAAAAGTATAAGTATAAAAATAAAATATTAATATATTCGTAGATATTTTTAAAGGGTTAATTCCAAAACAAATTCAAAAGTTGATATACAAAAATATCATTTAAAAGCATTTTGGTCACTATTGACTCTCTCAATGTATCTTACGAATATATTAACATTATATAGAAGTATACAACTTTTATATATTGCAAATAAAGAATATAATTTTATGTCTTACAAAAAAATAGATAATATAATTTTTTGGCTTCCACATGCTGAACTAATCTCACGTGTAATCTTACACAAACTAACTTCGAATCTCATCATGTCATACTCGATCAACAAATTAAAAAAACTTTTAATCACAACTTCAATCACAAACCAATCATATTAAAATTCTCTGTATATATAATTCATCCTCGTATTCCTCGATCTTGTTTTTTATTCCATTTTTCCTCCAAATAATCCTTCAGTTGATTCAATTGTTCAATCCTATCATTCCGTGCCCCGAGAAAAATATTAAGCTTTTTCAAATCTCCAAGTGGTTCGCCGCAAACAGACGAATTTGGACAAATAGTCCATACTGGGCCATCATTCCACAATAGATCGAATCCACCGATCCTTGTTTCCCTGCCGCAGAAACGTCCTTCAAAGTCGAGAATATTCAACGTGTCGTCGAGGAGATCGAACTTGAGCCGATAATCTTCACTGTCGGTGCCGGTCAAAGCTGGCGAGGCATTCACTTCGAGCAACCAAGGCTTCAGATCCTCGTCGAGCAGTATATCGTAGCCGTACAACTCGAACGAGTTTCTGCCCTGCATGATTACTGATTGCACGGAGAGCAAGCTGGCCATTATTACACCTATGGGATCAATAAATGGTTTTATAAAGAAAGGTTAATAAATCGAGAGAAGGAGTGATGTTTCATCTCATCAATGGGTGAGATATTGGGATTGATTGAGATTGTATGAGGATTTTTTTTTTTTTT